AGCTAACTAATATACATGCAACAATTTACTTGATATTTGATTTTAAATTAATCTCTCACAAATTTTTAACAAAAACTCAAATTAACCTTTTATCTAGCAGTGTAAAGAATATCGGTACAGTAAAAGAAATGCACAAATTTTGGTGTAAATAATTTATAATCAATACTTAGTTGGATATATTTTGCTTGTTTTATAGCTTACAGTCTTCCTGGTATCGACCTATTTTGAAGTAATTGAAATCTAAATAGATAATAAATACTTGCATAAAAACACCTTAATAAACACTTGCACTGCATTGGCGTAGCTATCGATGATGTCTGCTCTCTGTGCTCGTCAGGTAAAGCCATGGATTTTTACATTTGGCAACATGCACTGCACTTGATTTTATGACTTTTAATTCTTAAGTTTTTATTAAGGTTAAATTCTACTGGGTGCTAGAGTTCTTATGGCGGATATCCCTACAGTTTGATGCAGGAAAAAAATACACATATACAATTCATTTTTTTAAATTTTGTTAAATGCAGCTGTAGTTCATGTATTTATTAGTTTTGTTTAATAATTTTACTTCATGTATTGAAATTTCATACTTTTTAAAAATACAAATAAATTTGTATGAACACTTTCTAAATTTTTCTATAAAAATAATAATCTTTACAAACTATCTAGTATAAAATTTTAATGTCCACCAGGAAGACAGTTCATTTCGAACGATATAATTTGACACTTACCCAAATGCGGACATCAAATACCAATCTCATAAATAATCCAATACCTTCCAATCAAGAATTTTGCTCTATTTGCGAGACAAGACACTGCCTCATAGAATTTACAATTCATTTTCTTTCAATACTGCTAAATGCTGCTGTAGTTCATATATGCATTAGTTTTGTTTAAAAATTTTACTTCAGGTATTGGTATTTCATACTTTTTAAATACAAATAAAGTTGTGCGAACATTTTCTAACTTATTCTTTATAAATAATAATATACCACTATTCTTAAAAAGTAATTACTAAAATTTTTTTTTTCAAAATTTATTTCATCGCCTTCAAAGTAATCCTCTCCGGACATAATGCACTTATGCCATATTTAACATTTTCATAGTGTTATAAAGCTCTTCAAATTTTTTTTTTTACCTTCACAGTAGCTGGATAAAAATTCCATACAGCATTATGTACCCATTAGCCCAAAGTAGCCTAAACACCTTATAGCATATAGCCCAAATAGTTTCATAGGTTTTTTATCCAAGGGTAGTTTTTCCAAAGTGCTTCCCATAATTCTTCGTGTGCATTCGCTTATAAACGACAAATCTATCTACATTTTCGACGTAATCCCAAGTATTACTTGCTTTCCTTACTTTGGAAAACAAAGTAAAATTAAGATCCATTTCAAGTGATCTTAAAAAATATTCTTCAAAAAAATATATATAATTATATTTAGATTTCAAATACTTCAAAATTGATCGTTACCACAAAGATTTTAAGTTATTACAAAAAGCCAAAATATATTCAACTGAGTATTGATTTTAAATTATTCACAACAAAATTTGTAAAACTTATTTTACCGTACGGATATTCTTTACATTGTTAGATAAATAGCTAAATTGAATTTTTTTTTTTTTTTGAATTGTGTGAAAGATTCATTTTTAAAAATTAAAATAAAATATAAAATACAAATAAATTTTTGTATGTATATCAGTTAGTTTTGTTTAAAAACGTCACTTTCATGAATAGAAGTTCAGGAGCCTTTTAAATACAAGAAAAACCATTAGTATGAGTTCTTTCCACACTCACTGTATACAATCCAGAAAATCCAATATGAAAATTTACGAAAATAACAAAGACAAATTTTCAACGATTCAATTAAAACTTTTCAACTACATAATCCACAGAACCATAAAAACCGTGTACATTCTCAAGAAGTTCCATAAACTATGCAAACCACAAAAACGCCCGAAATCATATCCTCTTTACAACTCTTAAACTCTTTTAATAGCTCACTAAGCAAATCCCGAACCCACGAACGCAAGTCCAGGACAAAGCTCAACGTCCCACTTAACCTGGTCTCGATGGCTTTCCCATACTTTGAAGTGTGGGGGAGGGGGTTGTCCCCTCGTGACAGGGGGCCATCTGTGGGGTGTTGTTCTAATGAATGGATTCCGTGATGATTGGGGGAGGGAGACGGTTTAACTGCCGGGATAGCCATGCGTCTTTTTTCACAGATCGGAAATCCTGTGAGCACGCCAGGGAAAAATTAATGGGCTTACGTGAGTGGTCGGCGGGTAATTTGTAACGAAGAATGGAGCACGCAAAGTGTTTGTCTGGCAAATGGTGCAAAATTCTGGATTGGATTATTTATGAGATTGATATTTGATGTCCGCATTTTGGCAAGTGTCAAATTATGTTGTTCGAAATGAACTAACTTCCTGGCGACATTAAAATTTTTATACTAGATAGTTGATATATATATTACTATGTCTAAAAAGTAAGAGCAATTTTTTTGTTTCCAAAACTCTTAATTTATTCTTCCAAATTTATTTCATCACCTTTAAAAGTAATACCCTTTTTCGGACACAATGGAGTTATGCCGGACACAATGCACAATGATCGCAGCAAAAGTATGGTAGCAAAGAAGTATTTCTCAGCAATCCTTGTAAGATGGAGAGCTTCAACAAGGCAGAAGTAATTCCTCTCAGTAATTTGTAAAACAGCAATTAGTCTTCAAATTTAAAAAAAAACAACAACCCAAAAATTAAGTACTAAATAGTATAACATCCTGAAATCTAACGTTTTTAACCATTTTATCAAATGTATGATGATGTCGCGTTTTCGTGGACGAAGAAATACAATATTTTCATTAGATTTTATACAATTGCAGTTTAGTAAGAACATCTCCAGGTAAATCATATGAAGAATATGGCCACGTGGGTCCACGGCCAATGGCCAGGCTCTGGTCATTGTTACCACATGTTCAACTGCGAATTCTGGTGGTGGCAGGGACGTTTGTGAGAGTTTCGGAATCCACGTTAAACTATAGTCTCTGTGGCTAATTAGTCTAAAGTGTGTACAAAAATGGCCACAGAGCGACTAACTAATCAGAATCCAACAAAAGTATTTAATTATGTGGTGATATTATCGTCAGTCTTTTGAGTTTTCTAACTCATGCTGGAAGTGTTGTCGCAAAAGAAATAAAAATTTCTCGTTCCGAAGTAAACATTATATAAGGGTGAAATTAGGGGGCAGGTTGTATCTTCTTTCGTTTTTTGTAGAGTCTGGATTTTTGTTCTTACAGAACCAGTCCCAGACACAGTTTTGCTATTAATTTACAAATCGTGTTTCGAACTGGTCCTACTTAGTTTGAGACAATCTCAACTCAACAATCTGTCAACTAGGCTGTTACCGCTTTCAGATTTCCAAGATCAACCCTTTAGGAAAACAATAAAAAAAATTATTTTTGATAAGTTTCACATATTTTTTAAAGACTTGAACTTATATGTTTAACCCATTTTAAAAATTCGAAAACACATTTTTCAAAGAAAATACAAAATGAAAAAAAAATTTATAAAAATTACATTCTTTAGTAAGTCCCAGATAACATATATCGAGACAGAAACCCATTCAGTGACTTGAAAGACACTGAACTGGGTCCTACAGTACTTGCAGCTATCCTTTGGCGTTCAGAGAAATTATTTCATGGGGAGAATTATCACACACATGTCAATGCTTTGACACGGGTGTGGCAGTCTGACAGATGAAATAAATATCAAGATCAGATTTATTTTATCTGAGTTCATTTCATTTTTATTTTTCTTCTGAATATCGTAGTATGCATAAGGTTTTGACAATTTCGCTTCAGTTTTTCAATCGTTCGTTTAATCTTTTTGAGCAAAAAAAACTTCAGTGCCCAGAAAGGAAGACCAATTTAATTTTTTTTTTTCCAAAACTCTTTTTATTTCTTCTTCCAAATTTATCTCATCGCCTTCAAAGTAATCCCCTCCGGACACAATGCACTTATGCCATATTTAACATTTTTCATAGTGTTATATAGCTCTTAAAAATTTTTCTTTTACCTTCACAGTAGCTGGATATAAACATACAGCATTATGTATCCATTAGCCCAATGTAGCCTAAACACCTTATAGTATATATAGCCCAAATAGTTTCATAGTTATCTTTTTTTCTAGGGGTTACTTTGGGGCCTGAATGGCCGAGTGGCTAGCGCTCTGACGCTCGGTACCATAGGTTTCAGGTTACGAGTCCCGGCGGTGCCATGGATGTTTGTAGTGGTTCGGAATCCACTTTAAACTGTAGGTCCTGGTCTGTTAAGCCTAAAGTGTGCATAAGATGACCGTAGAGCGACGAACCAAAACCAAACCTAGGTACTTTTTCTAAAAGTGCTTCCCATAATTCTTCGTGCGCATTCGCTTTAAAAACGACGAATTTATCTATATCGACGTACTCCCAAGTATTACTTGCTTTCCTTACTTTGGAAAATAAAGTAAAATTAAGATCCGTTTCAAGTGATCCTAAAATTATTCTTAAAAAATATATATATATAATTATATTTAGATTTCAAATACCTCAAAAATTGATCGTTACCACAAGATTTTTAAGTTATTATAAAAGCTGAAATATATCCAACTGAGTATTGATTATAAATTATTCGCAAACAAAAATTTGTAAATTTCTTTTTACAGTACAGATATTCTTTACATTGTTAGATAATTAGCTAAATTGGATTTTTTTGTTCGAATTGTGAAAGATTCATTTTTTTATATTAAAATAAAATAAAATATAAAATAATACATAAATTTTTGTATGTATATCAGTTAGTTTTGTTTAAAAACGTCACTTTGATGAATAGAAGTTCAGGAGCCTTTTAAAAGCAAGAAAAACAATTTCTATGAGTTCTTTCCATACTCACTGTATACAATGCAGAATATTCAATATGAAATTTACGAAAATAACTCAGAAAAGTATTCAAAAGTATTCAAGTATTCAATTCTCGTTAGATCACCGAAGTCAAAGCGTCATTGGGCGCGATCAGTACTTGGGTGGGTGACCACCTGGGAACACCGTGTGCAGTTGGCATTCACAAAATTAGGGACCTGAATGGCCGAGTGTCTGGCGCTCTGGTGCTCGGTGCCACAGGTTTCGGGTTCGAATCCCGGCGGTGCCATGGATGTTTGTAGTGGTTCGGAATCCACTTTTTAAGTCGTAGGTACCCAGTCTCCTATGCCTGTAAGAGCGTCACGGAGCCAAAGTCAGACTTCTACCCAAGGGTGCTCCATCACAACAGAAGCTGCTTCCTTCCCTTCAATCATGAGTATGTATGGGCTCGTGGGCTTGGCCAACCAAGTGGGATAAGAAACAACAAACAACAACAAACAGTATTCAACGATTCAATAATAACTTTTCAACTACAAAATCCACAGAACCATAAAAAACGTAACATTCTCAAGAAGTTCCATAAAACTGTGCAAACCACCAAAAACGCCCGAAATCATATCCTCTTTACAACTCTTAAACTCTTTTTAATAGCTTACTAAGCAAATCCCGAACCCATGAAGCCAACTCTCAGAACAAAGCTCAACGTCCCACTTAACCCAATCTTGATGGCTTTCCCATACTTTGAAGTGTGGGGAGGGGATTGTCCCCGTGACAGGGGCCATCTGTGGGGTGTTGTTATTAACGAATGGATTCCGTGATGATTGGGAGACGTGTAACTCCCGGGATGGCCATGCGTCTTTTTTCACAGATCGAAAATCCTGTTATCACGCCAGGGAAAAATTAATGGGCTTACGTGAGTGGTCGGCGGGTAATTTGTAACGAAGAATGGATCACGCAGGCTGTTGGTCTGGCAAATGGTGCAAAATTATGGATTGATTATTTATGAGATTGGTATTTGATGTCCGCATTTAGGTAAGTGTCAAATTATGCCGTTCGAAATGAACTGTCTTTCTGGTGGACATTAAAATTTTATACTAGATAGTTGATATATACTACTGTGCCCAAAGAGCAAGACCAATTTTTTTTCAAAACTCTTTATTTATTCTTCCAAATTTATTTCATCGCCTTCAAAGTAACCCTTCCTGACACAATGCACTTATGCCCATTTTTTTTTTCCAATCCTCAATGCATGCTAAAAGTCATCGGCAGAGATGGCCTTCAAATCCCGATGCGATTCACGTTGAATCTCTTATAAGAACTCAAAACGGTGTCCACGGCGTAATCTTTTGAGTTTAGGGAATAGCCGGAAGTTGCACAGTGGGAATACGGTGGTTGTGGAACGATATGGGTTTCATATTAGACTAAAAGTCACGAAGAATCAATGGAGAGTGAGCTGGCGCATTCAATGTTTTCGGTACCAATCGAGATTTGACGCGTTTGAATCCCAAATGGAATTGACTGATCCTTTTGTAATTCCAACATCATCAACAAGGTCTCTAAGTGTAAATAGACGGTTTGTAAGCACCAAATCTTTAATATTTTGGACATGAGCTTCGGCGGTTGTGGTTGAGGGTCGACCAGAGGGCTCTTCGTTTTCAACGAGTTCTCTGCCTTCTTTGAACAGTTTATACCACATGTATACATTTCGTTCTGATATAGGAATGCTCTCCGAATGCCTTCTGCAACATTCTATACGATTCCGCATACAAAATTGAATGCAAGTTCTTTGCTCAATTAATTCATACATTTCAAAGATCGCCGGAATCAGATTTAGCGTCTCACAAAGCCAAGAGTAACTCAAACACTAAGGAATATTTTGACGTCAAATTTCAAACAGATGTCAAGGACAATGCCAACAACCTAAAAAGAAATTGAAATCCCATAATTCCAGGGAATTTTAAATAGAAAATTGGTCTTAGTGGATATACTACTGTGCTCAAAAAGAATCTAGTATAAAATTTTAATGTCCGCCATCCATATTTTGAACGACATAGACACTTACCCAAGTGCGGACATCAAACACCAATCTCATAAATAATCCAATCCAGAATTTTTGCACCATTTGCCAGACAAACACTTTGCGTGCTCCATTCTTCGTTACAAATTACACGCCGACCACTCACGTAAGCCCATTAATGTTTCCCCGGCGTGCTCACAGGATTTCCGATCTGTGAAAAAGACGCATGGCCATCCCGAGAGTTAACACGTATCCATCCCCCCCCAATCATCACGGAATCCATTCGTTAGGGACAACACCCCACAGATGAACCTCCCTGTTACGGGGACACCCCCTCCCCCCTTCAAATCCATCGAGATTGGGTTAAGTGTAACGATGAGCTTCGTTCTGGGAGTTGGCGTCATGGGTTCGGTATTTGCTTATGGACTATTACAAAGAGTTTAAGACTTGTAAAGAGGAAATGATTCCGTTGGTGTTTTTTTTTTGTTGTTGTGGGGAGCAGAGTGGCAGTGTTTTGCAGAGTTTTATGGAACTGTTTGTGAATGTTACATTGCTTTACGATTCTGGGGATTATGGAGTTCAAAAGTTTTTATTGAATCGTTAAAACATTTCATTTGTCTTTTTCGTAAATTTCATATTGATTTTCTGGATTGTATACAAAGCGGGGGAAAAGAACTCGTACAAATATTTTTCTTGCATTTAAAAAGTGCCTGAACTTTCATTCCTGAAAGACGTTTTTAAACCAAACTAACTGATATACATGCAACATTTTTTTTGTTCTAATGCAGCTGGCAAACACTTAGACATTTTTCTTTGCTGCTTTAAGGGAAGCGCGGCACCGATGTTACTCACTTAGCACTATCCAGGAGGTGAGTGTAGTTTTAACATAAGCTATGGACGCGGAGTAAAACTATCTCCGAAACTTAGCTATACGATCATGTTAGACCGAGATCTACGATTTAAAAATGGGTTCCAAATGACTACAAACAACCATAGCATGCCCCAGGATTCGAACTCCAAACTTCTGGTACTGAGCGACAGAGCGTTACCCACTCGGTCATTCATATTAACCAGCTAGTATAAAATTTTAATATCCACTAGTAACACAGTTCATTTTGAACAATATAATTTGACACTTAACCTAAATGCGGACATCAAATACCAATCTCATAAATAATCCAATCCATAATTTTGCACCATTTGCCAGACCAACAGCCTGCGTGCTCCATTCTTCGTTACAAATTACCCGCCGACCACTCACGTAAGCCCATTAATTTTTCCCTGACGTGCTCACAGGATTTCCGATCTGTGAAAAAGACGCATGGCCATCCCGGGAGTTAACACTTCTCCTTCCGTCCCCCCCCCAAATCAGCGCGGTATCTATTCGTTGGGGACAACACCCCCCAAATGACCCCCTGGTGACGGGGACAGCCCCCTCTTCAAAGAAATCGAGATTGGGTTAAGTACGATGTTGAGCTTCGTTCTGGGAGTTGCCTTCATGGGTTCGGGATTTGCTTATCGAGCTATTAAAACAGTTTTAGGAGTTGCAAAGAGAAATGATTCCGTGGGCGTTTTCTTGTGGTTTGCACAGTTTTATGGATCTGTTTGGGAATGTTATATGGTTTCACGATTCTGTGGATTATACAGGTGAAAAGTTTTTATTGAATCTTTGAAAAAAAGTTTATCAAATGTTTTATGTATTTGTTATTTTCTTAAATTTCATGTTGAGTTGCATAAAGTGCGTGTGCAAAGGGCTCGTATTGTTTTTTTGTTGTTGTTGTTGTATTTAAAATTCGCCTGACTTTTAATTACTTGAAGTGACGTTTTTAAAAAATCAACACATTTAGAAGAAAAATAAATATATAACCTAAGAATATACAGGGTGATTATAATTAAAGCAACACTTTCAAAATGCTATAAAAAAATGAAACAGTCGTCAAAATGAGTAGAAATTTCACCTGAAGAAGGGGGAAACAGTGTGGCATCACAAAAATTTCCATCGATTCTTCCCTTCTAATTTCGTGGATATGGTTTGCAGTGGTGAATGGGCTTTCCACCAACAGTATCACAACTACTGAATGACTTGGAAGTCCGTTTTTCCTTCAAACACGGAAACAATTAAGCACATTAAACACTGCAGTTGGTTTTAATATGTATCTCATGCCTAATACGTTGCAATTTCGATTAAAAATAAGACTGGCAACCAAATTCACTTTATTTATGCCGCTTACAGCGCCATATGTTGGTACACTTTGGAACATTTTTTTTTATTGACGAACTGTGTGTTCCTTCTGCAAGTATTTTCATATCAAATTTGAACTCATTGTGGCGATTGTTTCTTTAGTTTCCAGCATTTTGAAAATGTTACTTTAATTAAAATCACCCTGTGTATATCAAGTTAAAAATCTTTTTTTTTTTCAAAGTCAAAGAAACTGCGTCGCAGAATTTACAATTCATTTCCCTTAAACATTGCTAAAATACAGCTGTATTTCTTGTATGTATTAGATTTATTAAAAGTTTTACTTCAGGTATTGAAATATCATAATCCTTTTAAATACAAATAAAGTTACACGAACACTTAATATACATTATCATTTTTTATAGAATACATACTATCTAGTATAAAATTTTAATATCCACCAGGAAGGCAGTTCACTTTAAATGACATAATTTGATACTTACCCAAAATGCGGACATCAAATATCAATCTCATAAATAATCCAATCCATAATTTTGCACCATTTGCCAGACAAACAGCCTGCGTGATCCATTCTTCGTTACAAATTGTCCGCCGACCACTCACGTAAGCCCATTAATTTTTCCCTGGCGTGCTCACAGGATTTCCGATCTGTGAAAAAGACGCATGGCCATCCGGGGAATTAACACGTCTACAACCCGTTCAATCATCACGGAATCCATTCGTTGGGGACAACACCCCACAAATGGCCCCCTGTCACGGGGACAGCCCCCTCTTCAAAGCCATCGAGATTGGGTTAAGTGCGACGTTGAGCTTCGTTCTGGGAGTTGACTTCATTGGTTCGGGATTTGCTTAGTGAGATATTAAAAAGGGTTTAAGGGTTGTAAAGAGGAAATGATTCCGTGGGCGTTTTCTTGTGGTTTGCACAGTTTTATGGCACTGTTTGAGAATGTTACATGGCTTTATGATTCTGGGGATTAGG